TGTTTACACTTCCAAACCGCTATGCCAGAACCCGAAAGACTCGTCGCTCCACTATCGGTACTCAAGTCTCTCAGAAAAGAGTTCACTGTTTGCTTCCCCCCTTCCCCCTTCACTACGTTAGTCCATTCACACGCTTAGGAGGCGTCCCTCCTTACGCACCGCTTTTCTAAAAAAATCCGTTTATGTTGAAAAATCCGTTCATTGTTGGTCATAACTTGACCCCGCTCTCTTCATATGCTATTTCGCTCGATCTCCTGCGCTTGTCCTGGTTAGATTGGCTTGTACCCTAAAGTCACCCAGCTGGCCGGACCATCGGGGCGGAGGGGAGCCTCTATTCTCCAGCATCCAGCTGTCGAAGAGGCTAACCCTCGAGAGCCCCCTGGCCTGGAACCCTTCACAAGGGCTCCGTGGGGGTGCCACTTGAGGTGACACCCCTCCAAGCCGAGGGTGTGCTAGTCGCCTCCTCAGACATTGAGGAGAGCGACTGCCATCACCGATCCACCCACCGGAAGTCGTCTCTAGGAACCTTTCATTGTGAGCAGTGGACTTGCCAGAATATTGTGGGGCTGTCCCTTTTGCTTTGAGACACGTTTCACATTTCTCCTTTGCCTTATCACAATTCACAACAGAGATTCCACATTCCTTCAACAGCCTTTCAACACTCTGCATGCTCCTGTGCGCAAATTTCAAATGCCATGCATATAAACAATCCTGATGATTACAAGAGTCATTGCTAGTTTGACAAACTTGTCTCTCATCATTAACCATTTCAGATTCCTCACTGGAATCCACAAGATAATGAAATCCATTTCTCTCTTCCACTTTGGATTAAAAATCAGGCATCTCAGCAATGATCCTACTGTTTTCCCCTTTCTTAAGTAACACAGTATGATCACTGTCCATAAGCCTTTTAGTTGAAATCAAATTATCAGCTGCTCCAGGAACTAGAGCCACATCCTGCAATGTAACATTAATCACTTCTCCACTAGTAGTGAGAAGTTCAAGGAATACTGTTCCTACACCTCTGACATCAAGCAATTCCTTATTGGCTTGAGAAATCTTTGGGCTATTGTTAACATCAAGTTCAGAAAACAGTTCCTCATATTTGCAAATGTGCATGCAGGATCCAGAGTCAACTAAAAATATTTTCTTATTTCCATCAACTTCATCATCATTACACATTCTGAAAGCATGATCCTTCCTGCTAGCATGGAAATTTCCACGTCCCTTTGTCTGTGGTTTAAAGCCTCTGCCATAATTTCCTCTGCCACTGGGTGTCTCGCCCCTCTGACCATGTGCTCCGGAAGGCTTTTGTCTGCCTACTGCTTTAGATTCACAATCTCTGGTATTCCTAAATTCACAGTACACAGCTTTATGATTTCCTCTACATAAGAAACACTCAATTTTCCTTTTAAATCTGTGCCCATGTTTCAAACTCAGTACAGACATTTCATTATACTAAACATCATCACTGCTTCTTGAGTCAAATTCTTCCTTTAAAATCAACAATAAATCCTCAAGTTTTAGATCATCCTTGTGCCTTACAGTCATAGCTAGATTTCTGTAACTTTGTGGTAGACCTCTCAGAATAGCAGCTATCATGTCAATTTCATCAGGAGTCTTCCCCAACTCCTTAAGCTCATTATAGATGCCCATTAGTTTGCCCAGTTTATCAGGTAAATGGTCAGTCTCTTTTACTTTAAAATCAAAGATCCGAGCCTTCAAGTAATCTTACTGGTAGTCTTTCCTCCATATTTCTTTTTCAGATATTCAACCATTTCCTTTGATGTTCCCACAGTGTATAAATTTGGCACGTCATTAGGATTCACAGACCCGAGAATTAGATTTTTAGCATAGCCATCCTGTTGTTCAAAAGCACTTTTCTCTGGCTCATTTGTTTTTGGCGGGGGGGGCTGCCTTTTCTGGCCAGTCTGTTCTGGAGGTAGTTTGCAGTCAGGATTGCTTTGCCCCACCATTTATTTGGTAGGCCTGCATCCATGAACATACATCTTCTCAACTCCTGTAAAGATCTGTTTCAACAGTGCCATTCTGCTCAGGTGTAAAGTTCACCAACTTCTTGTGTAAGATGCCTTCCTCTGTCAAGGTTTGTCTATGATGTGATATAAACTCGCCACCATTATCTGTCTGTAGCATTTGAGGTTTTCTTCCAAACTTGTTAGAAACCATAGAAACATATCTCTAGGAATTTATGAACTTCACTCTTTTGCCTCAGCAAATATGCAACTGAGTACCTTGAGAAATAATCCAGAAAGATTCAAAGATACCTATTTCCACCATCTGCTATTACGTTTCTCATTTCTGGGTGGAAATGAGGGTCTCCTTTTGCTCTTATACAACATGCACATTTGCTTATGTCATTGATGTCACATGGCTCTATCTTAATGCCTTTGGCAAGGTCTTGAAGGTCTAGAATTACCTTTGAATTAATATGTCCTAGGCATCTGTGCCACAGTTCCAGGCTCTTTCTTTTCATGTTGACAGATGTATCTGTTCACCTGCAAGACTCAATTCATATACTTTCCTTTTGGTTACCTTGTGCATATATGACATTGTCTTTACTAATACATTTCTTATTTCTAAAACACGTCAAAGCCTTTGTTGTCTAATACAGACACACTCAACAAATTACAGCTTTATTCAGGTGTGCACAGGACATCTCCAACTTCATTAGGAAATTTTTCTGAGGTGTCCTATAGCATAAAGTGCCAATACCTATGCCTTGAATCTGTATATATTCACCATTAGCAATTTTTATTTCTCCTTTCTCACTTTCATTAAGTTCATCAAATAAATCCTTGCGGTGTATGCTGTGACTAGGTGCTCTACTATTAGCTACTTTTTCGCTTTTGATTCTGGTCAATTAGTAAAAAACTTTTCCCTTTCTATGCTGCATTAGGACCATCATGCTTTTGATCTTTAAAATTGCCTCTGTTTATAGCTTGTGTGCTCTTTTTGTGCATCTTAGAAAAATTGTTAGCTGGTGGCTCTCTACAGTCCTTTGCAAAGTGACTCCTTTTCTTGCAATTAAAGCAACAAAGCAATTGGTTTCTTTCCCTTTCTCTGGGTGGGACCTGCTCTTTCAAATTCTTTCTAGAAATGTAACTTGAACCATTCGGTGATTCAAATTCAATAAGCCATTTTAAGAATTCCTCCTACAATTCTTTTAGTGCCTGATTGAAAGTTGATGCATCTTTCTTTCGGCTTTAACTCTACTCACAAATGCAGAAAAATGTTTCCCCAAAGTCCCAAGCATAAAATTTGCCTTTTGTTCATCAGTTACATTAAAGCCACAGATTGCTAAATTTTCAACACCTGCCTCAGTTCAGATATATATTTTCTACAATTATCTCTGTTATGTAACCTTGTTTTTCAAGGTTTTCTTATTCATACTCCTTGTTATTTAATACTAGTAAACCCAAAAGACTCTTCTAGGCTGCTAAGCATTTCTTTTGCTGTCTGGGAATTTTCAGACATGAAAGTCTCACTATCATCCAATGATCCCATAATAATGTTCTTGGCAATCCCATTTTTGATTAGACAAGAGTCCAATTCCTTGCCTTTCTCTGTTGTTTTTTCTTCCTCTAGGATTCCAGCAGCCATATTTGCTTCAGGTATATGAAATATTTTAACCCAGCTTCTATAGTTCTCAGTAGTAACTTTTGAGATCTCCAGATATCTGCTTGGTTCAGCCATTCTTATCACAGCAATATGGAGAAAAACAATGGAGAATTTTTAAAGATCAAAAAGAACAACAACAAAGGGATCTGCTAATCAAAGACTTTAATTCCTTTTTAAACATTAGCTTCTGATAGACTCTTGGCCCATAACCTATTGGGTTAAATGTAAAAAAAAATCAATTGCCTTGGAAGCACAGAAGCTTTACGCAGTATCCCTGATCCTCCACGTTTTCTGGTTAAGGGAAAATGCTATTCAAACAAATTACAAAGATGATCTAACTCCAATGATAACAAGAGAAATAAATTTTTACTTACAAATATAGAAATACATGTCACATGACATTTAACTTTTTATGAACAGATTAACTTCAAAAAGGTTAACTTGCTACAGCTCCAAGCCCGTGTAAGAGAGACAAGATGAGAGGTCCTATATAAGATAAAAACAGAAGGCAATTAACAGCCAAAGAAACTCAACATCTAACCAATGAGAGTGGGGCCAACTGCCAAGTGTACCTGAGTTAGAGAATTCTCTTGACGCTCCCCCCCCCCCAGATATCCAACAATTTTCAGGATGGAGATCCTACAGTATGGGGATAATTACAAGGTACTAGTTTCTGGTGCAAGCTTTGCTTCAGTCAGTTTACTTTCTCCCGCAAAACTGATTTGGAGCTACTGGCTTGTATGTAAGAAAGTGACTGGAATCATGACCATGGAAGGGGCAGAAACATGATCCCCAGCACATAATGCTGGCCATAGTGTCAAGGGATGCAGTATATCTTAGTGCTGCCCCCAAGAGCTCTTTACTTCCACTTGTACAGAAATGGGAAAAAGTAAATCATTGCTTTCACAAGGACCATTCAGGTGGGACAAGTATCTCTCTTCTCCCAACTGTGTTTATCTCAGCTTCTGGTACAGCTGGGAATAGTATTTTTATTTATGGCAAAAAGTCACAGACCAAGTTAAGGAATGCATGTTACGTATGGTCAACCTCTCACTCAGCACATTAGCATTGTACAGAAGAAGCTTTACCTCTTAGCAGTGACTTTAGCCCATGCTTTCCCTGAGAGATGGGAAGCAAAGTTGGAGAATGAAAGGCCTAGCCTGAGACCACACTTGGAAAATACCTTTAAAAGTTAGTGTTTGAATGCTAGAAGTGTATCAGGCTGCTAGTCAACAGAGTTATTCTGAGCTAGTCGCATTGTTCTGAATTTTCTCCTTCCTGCGCCATGTAAAGTTTATTTAGCCACATAACCATCTCTTTTGTTCCCTCTGCCCCAAGATGGCTAGAATGGCAAAGTAGCCATGGGAGACTGGAGTTTCCTGGGAGGAATTTTAGAAGAAGTCCATATTCACTCCACTACCATTGGCAAGGTTTGGCTAACCATCCTCTTCATATTCCGGATGCTTGTTCTTGGTGTGGCTGCTGAAGACGTCTGGAATGATGAGCAGACTGAATTCATCTGCAACACGCAGCAACCTGGATGCAGAAATGTGTGTTACGACCATGCCTTCCCCATTTCTCTCATAAGATACTGGGTTTTGCAAGTCATCTTTGTATCCTCACCTTCCTTGGTGTACATGGGCCATGCCTTATACAGACTAAGAACATTAGAAAAAGAACGGCAAAAGAAAAAAGCAAAGATGAGGGCTGAACTGGAGGGAGCTGAATTTCAAATAATTGAGGACCGTAAAAAACTAGAGAGGGAACTCCGACAACTGGAGCAAAGAAAGCTCAACAAGGCACCCCTTCGGGGCTCACTGCTCTATACTTATGTGATCCACATTTTGATTAGATCTATCCTTGAAACTGGATTTATGATTGGCCAATACCTCTTGTATGGATTTCAACTAGACCCTCTGTACAAGTGTCAAACAGCTCCTTGCCCAAACACTGTCGAATGTTTTGTCTCCAGACCGACAGAAAAGACCGTCTTTCTTGTTTTTATGCAATCCATAGCAACCGTTTCCTTGTGTTTGAATATCCTGGAGCTCGGGCACCTGGTTTTCAAGAAGGCCCGAAAGGGATTCTGCGGGCAGTACAGAAGGAGAGACGAGGCGGATGAGGCTTACACCGCTGCTCTGAGAAACGGCCTTGAGATGCAACTACGTGTCGGGGCGCCACCGAGGCCCCTGCCTTCCGCTCTGAGCGGATTCAACTGGCTCCTGGGAAACCAAACGGAGGCGGCAGCGCTTTGCCATTCAGAGGACCGCCAAGAGCACCGAGGGCCTGCATCGCCAGCGCCCCCTCAGAACAGCAGCAGCTCCAACAACAACGAGGCGGCGCTTCAGGGACCCAAGGCGACCGCCTTCGAAACGCCCCTTCCCGCACTGAGGGGGAGCCCAGCGGCCCTCCCAGTAGAGCAGGACAGGCCGTCCCACACCCCAACGGCTGCTAGCGGCAAGCGCGCCGCTCCAGACCTCTGCATCTGAGGGGCGGTCGCGCCAGGGCTGACGGGAACCGCCCTCACACGCCCTTCTCCAGGCAGCGGCAAGGCCTCGCCCTTTCCCCTCCGCGCAGGCGCAAGAAGCGCGCCAGGTTCTCCCTCCGGAGCGACAGCCCCTCCCTCCGGTCTCCGTGGCGACGGGGGAACGCCGCGTTGCCTTAAAAAAGCCCCAGAGGGCACAGCCGCCTTCTCTTCGGCGCAGGCGCAGTCGAGGCCGCCGATAGGGAAGTGCCGATGGCGAACAGCAAGGTTCGTTGCCCGAATTCAGGCTGGGCTGGGACGGGGCGACGTTTTCGCCGCGCAGCCCCTCACGTCTCTCCCGTTTCCTCTCCTCTCTCCGCAGGCTGCCGACTCCAAGCGGGAGCAGTTCCGGCGCTACTTGGAAAAGTCCGGGGTCATGGACACGCTCACCAAAGGTAGGCAGAGGCACCTGCCGGGTGGGGAGGGAGATGCACTGGGGGGGGCACCTTGGCCTGCCCACTCGCTGACCCACCCCCCCACTGCCCCTTGCTTCCTAGTCTTGGTCGCCCTGTACGAAGAGCCCGAGAAGCCCAACTGCGCCCTCGAGTATCCTTTGCTTGCTTGTCTGGCAACCCCCCCCCCCCCCCCCCCTTTCCACATGGGAGCGGGCTGGGCAGCTGTGAGCGCGGCCCTGGTTTCTCGTGGTGGTCGAGTCTCCTTAACTTTTGCCGCCAGTTTCCTGAAGCACCACTTGGGGGCGGCCGCTGCGCCGGAGAACCCCGAAGTGGAGGCCCTGCGGCTGGAAGTGGCCGAGGCGAAAGAGAAGTACGAAGCGGTACTGGAGGAGAACAAGAGACTTAAGGCAAAGGTAATCCCCCCCCCCCTCCCCTGGCTTTCATTTCAGGAGAGACTGTGGGGGCAGTTCTGTGTACCTGGCCTCCTTTCCAACCACTGGTCAGGGAGGTAGAGTTGTCAGCTCTGGTTTGGGAAATATCTGGAGATTTTGGGGGTGGTGGTGCAGCTTTAGAGGGGCAGGGTTTGAGGATTGGAGGGACTTCAGTGGGGTATAATGCCATCGAGTCCACCTTCCAAAGCAGCTGTTTCTTCTGTTGTAATCCCAGGAGATCTCCAGCCACAACCTGGAGGCTGGCAACCCTATATGAAGGCAATGAAAGAAAAACTTGTGATTGCTGTAGAAAAGTATTTTGGGGGGGAGTTGTTCTTTACTTTTGTAAGATGACCTTTTTTTCCTTCCCTCTTTGCAGCTGGCTCAGTATGAACCGCCTCAGGAAGAGAAACGGGGAGAATAAGGTTCTTTGCATGTAACTTAAATAAAACACTTCAAAGCACACCCATCTAGTATTGCTCTTGTAGTTGCAAACCTCTTTTATTCTGCAGTGAATCAGATAGTTGTTATCTTCCTGAGAAGGTGTTTTGAAACACAGGTACTGTAGGAGTAGAGCTCACAATAAGAGAGGACTGTTGTTCTTCTGTTCTTAAATAATGTATAAGCCTGGAGAAGGTGGGGGGATGAAACGGATTTGATGAAGCATTGGATTAACAAATTATTCTTTTACTGGGGAGCATTTAGGGAAGCGTACTAGAGGTTGTCAAATAATCCTGACTTCATCTGCCACCTGACTTTTGTGATGCATCTACTACTTCCCACATAAGTAGAACAACTTCAGCATTGCTGTGTCTTGTTTATTATATTTCTGTCCCAGTTTTCAGGTCAAAATTTTCCATAGCAGCTACAGGAATACAAAAAAGAATGTGAATGCTTTAGTTAGAGTTTAGCATCCTTGTTGGTGTTGTATTAGTCATTCATTCGTAATCCATATTTCTTATAGAAGACTTATGGCTCACATGCAAAAAGAAGTTTGGTTTCAGCATTCCCCAACAGTGACAGTTTTCAAGGATTGTACTGCTTCATTGCGCGCTACCTTTCTTAGTGTCCAGGAAGCTTTTTCTTGATGGCAATAAATCCTCTGGAATGAAATCCTTTCACAGTGTCTGTGCCTTTAAGTGTAGCAAACAAAATCTTTTGGGTACATTGGCTGTCTCAAGCCCCTCAAGAACAGCTGGTATGTTTAAGTGGTTAATATAAGTGGTTAACATACCATGACTTATAAGATTTCTCCCAAGGAGAATGTAAAATGAAACCAAGAGAAGATTCGATAACAGAAGGATGTACTTGTCAATGGGTTTTATATGCACAATTATTAGAATGGTTTAAAGCAGATAAAAGACTATGGATTTGAACAAGCTGAGACTGAACTTGAAGTATTGTTATGTACAAATGGTGAACATGTTACTGCTAAAATGTACACGTTTTTGTTGAAATTTGAGACAGTGAAAGAATCTATGATAAAATGGCCTAAAACTTTGGGTATGGCATACAAATGGAACAATGGGAAAATGTGGATGAAAGGACTTAAATTTACATTAAATTCTAGTCTCAAAGAGAATTTTTATAAAATGATGTATTGTTGGTATGTCACAAGAGAAGTTAGCCAAAATGTCCAAAAAACATTTCTAATGTGCATTGGAAATGTGAACAACATAAAGCGATATTTTATCTTTTATGGTGGACTTGTAATAAAGCCAATTTTTTTTGATACATATACATTTATTAATCCAGAAAATTACAAAGGCTAATGTACGAATACAACCAGAGGCCTTCCTTTTGGGACTAATGGACAGACAGCTTGAAAAAAGTCATGGCACTTTGTTTTTATATATGACAACGGCAGCCAGAATATTATATGCTCAAAACTGGAAAAACTTGACAGTACCTACAACAGAGGAATGGTTGGTGAAAATGTTAGAACTTGCGGAGATGGCTGAACTTCTTTAATCAGAGAAAAGATAGTATCTATGTTTATTGCTAACTGGAAACCCCTGATAGACTTTTTGCACAAAATTGAAAAAATGAACTGATATGTGGTTTTGAGAACTAAGGGAGAAAAAAAATAGTTAATAAAAAAGAGAGCTTTCCCCCACTTTGTAACTATAGAGTAAGTGATAAATTTGTAATTTTATTTGTATTTATTGTGGAGAAAATCAGAAGTCCCTTCTTTTCTCTTTTCTAATTCTTTTTATCTTTTTCTTTATTTCTTTAGTTTCTATTTTTATTAGTTCTTGCTATTTTTTATCTTTTGTTATAAAAATTCTCAATAAAAACTATTGTTAAAAAAAGAACAGCTGGTATGTGGAAGCAAGCAGTGCACTGGCAAACTTCTGTCTTGGGCCACCGGTTGCATATAATTGGGGGGGGGGGGTTTAGCATGCAATAATAGGTCTGAATCTTATTTGCTTTTGTATAAATAGTAAATGGCTTATGTTGCCTTAGTTGTTAATGGTTGTAAATGTAAACTTTTAAAGAGTTGACAGTATAAGTGGGATGAGAATCATCAGTCCTGATAGACGCAGCCATCAAGTTTGCTACCAGTAGGGTAATGAACCCAGGCCATGAAAAACAGTAGAGGCTGATGTACAATGGCGGCATCCCTCAGAAGTGCAGATAATTACTTTGTAAACTAAAAGTACTAAGTATGGTATTGGAGCCATGAAATAGAGAGGACAGATGTTAGGGGGGGGGGAAGAAGGGAAGGCGAAATTATTCTGGTTGAACTCAACAGCTTACAAAAACCAGGAGGGTGCAGAACTTTCACTGTGACATATTTCCCCTCTGCTTTCCCCCCCAACTTCAGTTATTGAAATTCATGGCTGAGTGTCTCTTCAGGTTAAGGGAGGAATTTCTGTATATGTACATGAGTCCCTGTAAAGTGCCTTCTGTGAAAAGCCTGGTGAGGACTGAGCATGCTCTTTTCCCTCCCCATGAAAACATCCCAACAACTTATAGTGCAATCCTTAACGGTTATCTTTTTAAGTCCATTGAGATCAATGGATGGAGAAGGGTGTAACTCTGCTTAGAATTGCAATATTAGGGTCCAAAAGAAGTAAACCGAAATGCAAGGGACAAACATCTTCATTGAGCTTGGATGTTTAAAAACAAACAATAACGTGATTGTACAGATTTTAAAAGGCATGACTAGCTACTAAAAGCACATGGACACAGTCTGGTGTTAAAGTTCAAACTTATAACACAGTCAATCCAAAAATTTGAGCAAATTGCTGCAAATTGTAAACAGTGAAGTAGATATTTCACAGTGCTGGGTTTGGAGGTGAGGGAGAGAGAAACCATTATTCTGAATGAGACCAGTGGACTAGATAGGGTGGTGTTAGTCACAGGTAGGTTTTTCCAAGCAATATGACTGGACGTCTCTTGGACTGAATCTTGGATTTTTTTGCACAAAAAGCAGGAGTTCTGCTGCTGAGTTATGCCCCTTTGTGCTTACTCAACAATATGATGATGATGAAAGAAACTTCACCAGCTGCCATTGCAGAAAGTGGTGGAGATATATGAACACCATTGTTTTGTGTATTGAAAGGGCCAGTGAGCTCTTAAGATGTTTATTTTGGACATTGCAGAACTATTTGCCTAACGTAGTTGTGTGGTCTTGGAAGAAAACTTTAGGTTCATTGTCATTGTACTGTTGTCAGGGTTCGATAGATCACACAACACAGTGCTTCATAAGAAGAATTCTGTTTTTGGTACACCTGGACTATGACACATGTACTGCTTGTGTCAGTAATGCCCGGGAACAGTATAGCACCCTGAATTATACTAGGATCAAATACACCCCCCCACACAACCTGAAGCCAATAAGCAAAGTTTGCACACGCAGGGAGAGAGAGCGGGCAAAAGCTGTTGGTTCCCAGCTAAAGCCAACAACAGCTGGAACATCCCAAGGTCAAGACAGTAGATAATACCCAGACAGTGAAACTCTGTGCATAGCAGGCAGAGTAAGGTGGTTTTCCCCTCCACACGTTCCAGCAACATGGCAGTATTAACTAACATCCTGCCCTCCCGAAGGCCGCTCCCCAAGTTTATCTACACAGCAAACAAGGGGCCCTGATGTGATCCATCTCCACCCACTCTCTGTTGCGGTCCAAAGTCAAACCATTCTACCAAATAAAACAACTTGTTCCGCTTAAGCTTAGAGTCCAAAATATCAGCAACTTCGAAATGCGGTTCGCCTTGCACCATCAGGTGGGCAGCTGTGCTCGTTGGGGTCTCCAAACGTTCAGGCCAGGATCCCGTTTTAGGAGGCTGAAATGGAAAACGGGATGCAAATGCTTTAAATTCTTTGGCAATTTGAGTTCAATAGGCACATTATTGATCTTGCGCCTGACCTGAAAAGGACCAATAAACTTCCACCCCAGTTTACGCCTAGATTTAAGCCCCTTGATATTCTTAGTGGAGACATAGACAGAGCCCCCTGGCTGGATGTCCCAGCCCTCCGAATGTTTCTTGTCAGCTTGAGCTTTGTACGTTTCCTTAGCCCCTCCAAAGTCTTGCACAGGACCGGCCACACTTCTTGCAACCCCCTACACCAGTCCCCCCTCCAGTAGGGCTGTGTCAGTCAGGAAGGGGAGAGGCGGAGCCTCATAACCATAGGCAGCCATAAATGGAGAGACTCCCATAGAGGAATGACACGCATAACAAAATTCTGCGAAGGGAAGAAACCCCTCCCAGTCGTCCTGTTGAAAGTTTGTGAAGCACCGTAGATATCGTTCAAGGGTTTGATTAACCCGTTCCATTTGGCCATCAGTCTTGGGGTGATAAGTGCTACTCAGGCCCTGTTCTACCCCCAGCAGGTGCATCAGTTCCCCCCAAAACTTAGAAATGAACTGTGACCACCACCCATATAACCATTTTCCCCCAGCTGGGGGGTAAATCAGTGATAAAGTCCATGGATATCACCTCCCACGGTCTGCCAGGCGTGGTCAGAGGCCGCAACAGTCCAGGCGGTTTTCCAGGACGTGGTTTATACATGATGCATGTCTGGCAAGACTGGACAAACAGGGAGAGACCCTTTCTCATACTGGGCCACCAGAACTGACATTGCAACAGATGCAAAGACTTCACAAATCCCAGGTGCCCCGCCAGCTTGCTGCTATGCACCATCGACATGACATCGCCCCGCAAGGCTGACGAAACGAACAGCTTTTGACCACGGTACCAGCAGCCATTAGCCCGTTCCTCCAACTCCCCTTTCCTCTCCAGTTCTTTCCGATCAGCATCCAAGAGGGCGGAGGCGAACCCCAACTCCCAGGAGTCTCTGTCCCCATCCCCTGGGGGCAAGGATTTCATTTGGCTGCGAGTCAGGCCCACCCACCCCCCAACTAGGAGGGAGTGAACATAGAGTCCAGAATGCCCTCACATCGACTGTCGTGTTGCGGGAGGTGGAACAACGCATCTGCCAATGAGTTAGCTTTGCCCAGGAAGTGGTGGAGGGTGAAATTGAATTTGGAGAAGAAGTCCGCCCACCTTAATTGCTTAGCATTAAGGTTGTGGGGCGTTCTCATCACTTCCAGGTTTTTATGGTCTGTCCAAACCTCAAACAGCACCCGCACCCCCTCCAACCAGTGCCGCCAAGTCGAAAGCACTAATTTAATAGCCCCCACTTCCTTGTCCCATACTGGCCAGTTCCGCTCGGTGTAATTGAATGTCCGGGAGACATAAGCGAGAGGATGCAATTTCCCACCCACCCCGCAAAATGGCGCCACCCATGGCGACATCCGATGCGTCTGCTTGTACAATAAATTTTTTATTTTCGTCAGGATGCACCAACACATGTTTGGACATGAATAGGGCTTTTAAGCGGTCAAACGCCTCCTGGCATTCATTAGTCCACACCAGTTTAGCTCCAGGCTGGGTAGTCTCAGGCCCTTTCCCTTTTGTTTTCAGGAGATCCGTCAGTGGTAAGCTCACCTGAGCAAAGTTGGCAAGAAAAGATCGGTAAAAATTGGCGAATCCTAAGAACGCTTGGAGCTGCCTCCGAGTCCGATGTGGCTCCCACCCCAACACGTCTCGGACCTTAGCAGGGTCCATTTCCAACCCATGCAGGGAAATGTGATAGCCCAGGAAATCGATCTTGGTGCAATGGAACTCACAATTTGAAAGTTTGGCAAACAATTTGTGCTTGTGTAATGTGTGCAACACTTCCCGCACCAGTTTCACATGGGAATGTTTGTCGGGGGAATATAGCAAGATATCATCTAAATAAACAAGTACCCCCTTGAACAGGTGCTTGTGCAACACTTCATTAATAAGGTTCATGAAGACCCTGGGAGCCCCTTGTAGTCCGAAGGACATCACCCAGCATTTGAACTGGCCCAACGGAGTATTAAACACCATTTTATATTCGTCCCCCTCCTTAATCAAGCTTGGAAAAGATTTTCTCCTTAGACGCCTCAGCCAGGAGATCCTTGATCAGGGGTAGGGGTAAGCATTAGTAGTGGAAACCACATTCAACCCCCCTATAGTCAGTGCATAGCCTCAACCCCCCATCTTTTATTTTCCAGAACAGCACGGGGGCAGCAAATGGGGAGGATGCAGGGCGAATGAACCCCCAGCCAAGGTTCTTGTCAATGAACTTTCTCAGTTCCTCCTTTTCACCTGGGCTCATCATATACAATTTCCCTTTGGGCAACTTGTGCCCAGGCAGCAGTTCAGTGGCACAATCAGAATGTCTGTGAGGTGGTAATTCATCACCCTCTTCCTCTTCGAAAACCTGGGCCAGGTCCCGGTACTCTGAGGGAATGGCGGCCAACTCCTCCCTTGCCAGGCATGCTCGCACCAGTTCATTGGGAGGGGGAATCCCCACTCCGCTGCCCACGTGTGAGCCTGACACTTGGGAGGGATAAATTGGACCTTGCCCTCGTCCCATAGGATGTATGGGTCGTGATCATGTAGCCATGGGCTGCTCAACACCAGTGGGAAATGAGCTGCCTGGGTGATGACAAATGACTGGTGCTCCCAATGTCCTCCCACCCTCATCCACAATGGCACAGTCTTGTACTTGCAAGGATCTTTCATGGCTGACCCATCCATTTGAGTAAAGACGATAGGGTCTGGGAGTATAAC